CATATGTTAATTGTATTTGTTTGAATTGTGTAATTTGTGCCAGTTGTGTATTTTACGTATCTGCGCTAGTTATGTATTAATTGTATTTGTGAAAGTTGTGTAATAATTATGCAAAATATGTATTATTTGTGCAAGTTGTGTAGGTGTGCATGTTATGTAATTGTGTATGTGCGAATTGTGTATTTGTGCTCTTATGTATTGATCGTAATTGTGCAAGTTGTCTAATTATATAACAAGTTGTGTATTAATTGTGCAAACTGTATATTAGCTATGAAAGTTTTACAGAAATTACGTATGTTTTGTAATTGTACATGTGCGAATTATGTATTGATTATATTTGTGCTGGTTATATATATTGATTGTATTTGTGCAAGCTGTGTAATAATTCTGCAAGAAGTGTATTAATTGTGCAAGTTAACTATTAATTGTTTCTGTTTTGTAAGTTTATTTCTGCGAATTGTGTATTTGTGTAAGTTGTGTATTGATTGTATTTATGCAAGTTGCATAATAATTCTGCAAGATGTGCATTAATTGTGCAAGTTGACTATTAATTGTTTCTGTTTTGTAATTGCTTTTGTGCTAATTGTTCTTTTGTGTTAGTTGTGTGTGACTGTATTTATGCAGGTTGCGTATTAACTCTATTGGTGGAAATAGTGTATTTGTGCAAATAGCATATTTATGCAAGTTGTGTTTTTAATTGCTGAGCTATTGAGTATCTTCAAATTCGACCGAGCTATTTAGTAGTCTTAAGCTCACCTAGAGCCCAGGTGAATGGAATGTTTATGTCCAGCGAAGTGTTGGTGACAATTTATGTGACATGGGCGAGGATCACTAATTCCTCTGAGCTTCAGTAGTAGTCAGGGAAAGTTGAAAATTTTAGTTTGGCAGCAGGATGTTGTTTTTTGAATCTTTGCTTATTAAGACTACTGAATAGGTCGACCGATAGAGCTTCAACCTCACACGTGTGGGGTCTATGGTTTGAGTCTCCTAGAGCCCAGGTGAATGGAATATATGTTTGTGGTTTAGTATTTGAAGATTTCAACGGGAATTGTGTCACGATCTTTGTGTTCGGGACTTGGAGATAATAATGCTAAAGCGAGTGAGACTCTTGTCAGTCCAGACTCTGTGATATCTCATTTGTTTAATATGAATTGGAGGGAGGCTGTTTCATTCATTGTTTTGCTCAGTAAGCCATCTTTAGCTATACACTAAAAATATTGGTTACAAATATGTAATCTTTGGCTGGGGGAAACAAACAATATTTCTCACTTTTTATGGGTCTCTACCAAAAGAATTGGAACAAATAATTAGGCAAAGAGTAAAGTGTACCAGCAGATAAATGAACACAGTAAGGGTGCATTAATATAGCCTTCCGCATATTTCCCCTAAATGGGTGATATGATTGAAGGGCAGAGGTAGATAAACGGGTATGAAAGGGGGCATTAATTTGGGTATTTATTAGACATTAGGTAAGACATTGATAAATGTGAGCGTGAACATGTGCTATTTTCCTTGCTTCTTATGTATAGAAGGTCTATTCTTCTGCAGTCTATTCCATTTCATAATGGTAGTTAATGATTTCTTCAACAAGGGTGGAAATAAATAGGAGATACTGAATAGCCCCAATAGATCTTCTGCAGCTTCATAATAAATTAATATGCAATCATTGAAAACAGACTTACTGAGGGAAGATGAAGACAAGGTGGCTGATGACGTCATTTAACATTAGGGATGGCTGTACCAGTGCATCAATGAGGCAACTATATTTAGGGATGATGTAAGGGTGCTGTTAAATCTCCAAGGAAAAATGTAGTGTGTGCCAGAAAGGTGCAATTTAATATCAACGGAAAAAAATTGCGCGCCAATATAAGGCAGCCATAAAGGGCTGTAAGAGTGTAACCATAAAATATTCATGCGCCAATTCAATGCAGTCACAGAGGCTGACCGAAAATATACTTGCGCCATTTCGGTGCAGTCAGGGGTTCACGGGAAAAAATAAGGCCCCAATTCAGTGCAGTCGAAAAAAATTAAATTGCACCGTACTGGGAATGTTTATACTACTGGTGAGATATCAACCTTTATTTATACAGAATTTGACGTTATTCTCATCTACAATTGAGTGTATGCAAGGAACACATGTTGCAAATTTGGCAACAACAACAACAATTGTTGCAATTATGCAATAATGCATAATTATTTATTAATGAAACAATGCAATTATTTATATTTAATTTATAATTATATATTATAAAACAAATGAGCTACATAAGAAAAAATAACATTTAATCATGCAGAAAATATTATGCAGGATGAATTTTAATGTTGATGGATTTTGGTATTGAACAAGATTAGAAATTTGTACCACTTGCTATTCATACAATAGAGGTGCATGGGGCTCGGCCCACACCCACCTGTGACCAGCCCCAAACAACCACCAGTCACCCTGCAAAGTTTGATGATGCTAACTCCAATACCAATAAAAACATTAAAATATTTTCTGTAGAGATCATATCTCGATCACGCGATATCTATTATCACGCGAGATTATATCTAAATCATGCGCGATGGAGTTGTGTTGCTAGGGTGATGTAGATTTGTGGCCAGGGTGATGGAATTGTGTGGCCAGGGTAATGTAGTTGTGTGGCCAGGGTGATGTAGTTGTGTGGCCAGGGTGATGTAGTTGTGTGGCCAGGGTGATGTAGTTGTGTGGCCAGAGTAATGTAGTTGTGTGGCCAGGGTGATGTAGTTGTGTGGCCAGGGTGATGTAGTTGTGTGGCCAGGGTGATGTAGTTGTGTGGCCAGGGTAATGTAGTTGTGTGGCCAGGGTGATGTAGTTGTGTGGCCAGGGTGATGTAGTTGTGTGGCCAGGGTAATGTAGTTGTGTGGCCAGGGTAATGTAGTTGTGTGGCCAGGGTGATGTAGTTGTGTGGCCAGGGTAATGTAGTTGTGTGGCCAGGGTAATGTAGTTGTGTGGCCAGGGTGATGTAGTTGTGTGGCCAGGGTAATGTAGTTGTGTGGCCAGGGTAATGTAGTTGTGTGGCCAGGGTAATGTAGTTGTGTGGCCAGGGTGATGTAGTTGTGTGGCCAGGGTAATGTAGTTGTGTGGCCAGGGTAATGTAGTTGTGTGGCCAGGGTGATGTAGTTGTGTGGCCAGGGTAATGTAGTTGTGTGGCCAGGGTAATGTAGTTGTGTGGCCAGGGTGATGTAGTTGTGTGGCCAGGGTAATGTAGTTGTGTGGCCAGGGTAATGTAGTTGTGTGGCCAGGGTAATGTAGTTGTGTGGCCAGGGTGATGTAGTTGTGTGGCCAGGGTAATGTAGTTGTGTGGCCAGGGTGATGTAGTTGTGTGGCCAGGGTAATGTAGTTGTGTGGCCAGGGTAATGTAGTTGTGTGGCCAGGGTAATGTAGTTGTGTGGCCAGGGTAATGTAGTTGTGTGGCCAGGGTAATGTAGTTGTGTGGCCAGGGTGATGTAGTTGTGTGGCCAGGGTAATGTAGTTGTGTGGCCAGGGTGATGTAGTTGTGTGGCCAGGGTAATGTAGTTGTGTGGCCAGGGTGATGTAGTTGTGTGGCCAGGGTAATGTAGTTGTGTGGCCTGAGTGATAAAATTGTGTGGCCTGAGTGATAAAGTTGTGTGGCCTGAGTGATAAAGTTGTGTGGGCCAGGGTGACGATGCCGTGTGGCCAGTGACACTTGCTTGTCCTACATATTCAAAATGCATCAATTGCCATAGGATTTGTTTGGCATTATTAAGATATATTTAAATTGTGTACGAGGTCTTCACTTATAAATATCAGTAACAAAATTACAGGCACATCAAATATAACAAATATCAGTTAATAATGTTGCTGCTGCTATTGCTGTATGATTACTTTGTTTAGAATAAAAAAAACACTTATGTATTGGTGGATGAGACGTATTCAAGTCGTGTTCAAACAATAAGCTGAGACCTGGATAATCTGGGGTGATGTAATGTGAAAGACCCATGGGTGTGGGAAAGACTTGGTGTAGTTCACTTCTTTACATAATATACATTATATATATATATATATATATATATATATATATATATATATATATATATATATATATATTTCTATATATATTACATATATATATATATATTTCTATATATATTTCTATATATATTATATATATATATATATATATATATATATATATATATATATATATATATATGTTATATATATATATATATATATATATATATATATATATATATATATATATATATATATATATATATATATATATATATATATAAATGTGAATTTGTTATCCTGTGTTATTATGATTCATGTTTATATATATATATATATATATATATATATATATATATATATATATATATATATATATATATATATATATATATATATATATATATATATATATATATATATATACATATATATATATATATATATATATATATATATATATATATATATATATATATATATATATATATATATATATATATATATATATATATATATATATATATATATATATATATATATATATATATATATATATATATATATATATATATATATATATATATATATATATATATATATATATATATATATATATATATATATATATATATATATATATATATATACATATATATATATATATATATATATATATATATATATATATATATATATATATATATATATATATAATATATATATATATATATATATATATATATATATATATATATATATATATATATATATATATATATATATATATATGTATATATATATGTGAATTTGTTATCCTGTGTTATTATGATTCATGTTTTACTTTTATTTGCACGTTAATCTTCAGCATTTGCTCTGGACCTCAGTCGTGTTATATCTGTGATAAGACATTACCTTTCCATAACTTATTACTTTGTTTAATATAAAGTTAAATTATGGTGATGGTGTTTGACGTGTCTCTCACTACTCTCTGTGTCCTCAGGTACCCTCACCAGCTACGGGTGTCAGCGCAGTCACTCAAAATATAAAGATCTTCGCTGAAGTGAAACAAGGCAACAACCCCATCATAGGAGCTGTTGTCAAGTAAGCAACAGCCTCATCTTCTTCTGCATTACGGTACATGCAGTTTGCATGATGGTTTCTGCCGATGACTGCACAAGGGGTAATGTTAGTAGACGCGTCACTCACAGTGGCGCGTCAGTCTTCATCACGTGGCAAGGCTTGCAAGTTGTTGTGTTCGCCAGTTTATGCTAGGATGACCATGAAAATAAACCTTTCAGCTAACCCTGACGCATGATGCCTACTTGTTGGGGTGCTGTGAGTTCTTCTGCTCCCCTTGCTGGCTTGACTTGTGAGAGTTTGGTCCACCAGGCTGATGCTTGGAGCGGCCCGCTTGCCCACATATCCACCACCGCCCGGTTGGTCCGGCACTCCTTGAAGAAAACTATTATATTCGCTGGGAGGCACAGGTTAAGGCACAGGCGGGGTGTTATGTTCACGGCGTCAGCTGAGTGTTGTTGTTCTGTGGAAAGTGTTTGCTTATTAATTATCAATTTGATTTAATAAATGGGATTATGTTTGGGAGTTAGCAACAACTCACAAAGGTTAGTTTAGGTTAAATTAGGGAAGGTTAAGTTAGGTTAAGTTTGGTCAGGTATATTTCATGTCGGACCATAATGCTCATCGGAAATATTTCTGATGTTAGGTGTGTGAATGCGTCTGTTTTCATGAAGTTCATTATCACAGCGTGTTAAATGCCTGAAGGTATAGGATGGCTACTGACGGGAACCTGAAGGTGTAGGATGGCTACTGACGGGAACCTGAAGGTGTAGGATGGCTACTGACGGGAACCTGAGGGTGTAAGATGGCTACTGACGGGAACCTGAGGGTGTAAGATGGCTACTGACGGGAACCTGAGGGTGTAAGATGGCTACTGACGGGAACCTGAGGGTGTAAGATGGCTACTAACAAGACGTTGAAGGGTGTAAGACTGCTAGTGACAGTGGGATGAGGGTGAATGATGGCTAATGACGGGAAACTGAGGGTGTAGGATAGCTAGTGACGGGGGGCAGAGGGTGTATGATGGCTAGTGACGGGGAGCTGAGGGTGTATGATGGCTAGTGACGGGGGGCTGAGGGTGTATGATGGCTAGTGACGGGGGGCAGAGGGTGTAGGATGGCTAGTGACGGTGAGCCGAGGGTGTAGGATGGCTAGTGACGGTGGCCGAGGGTGTAGGATGGCTAGTGACGGTGGCTGAGGGTGTAGGATGGCTAGTGACGGAAACCGAGGGTGTAGGATGGCTAGTGACGGTGGCCGAGGGTGTAGGATGGCTAGTGACGGTGGCCGAGGGTGTAGGATGGCTAGTGACGGTGGCAGAGGGTGTAGGATGGCTAGTGACGGTGAGCCGAGGGTGTAGGATGGCTAGTGACGGTGGCCGAGGGTGTAGGATGGCTAGTGACGGTGGCTGAGGGTGTAGGATGGCTAGTGACGGTGAGCCGAGGGTGTAGGATGGCTAGTGACGGTGAGCCGAGGGTGTAGGATGGCTAGTGACGGTGGCCGAGGGTGTAGGATGGCTAGTGACGGTGGCCGAGGGTGTAGGATGGCTAGTGACGGTGGCCGAGGGTGTAGGATGGCTAGTGACGGTGTCCGAGGGTGTAGGATGGTAGTGACGGTGCCGAATGTAGGATGGGACGGTGCCGAGGGTGTAGGATGGCTAATGACGGTGCCCGAGGGTGTAGGATGGCTAGTGACGGTGGCCGAGGGTGTAGGATGGCTAGTGACGGTGCTGAGGGTGTAGGATGGCTAGTGACGGTGTCCGAGGGTGTAGGATAGCTAGTGACGGGGGCTGAGGGTGAATGATGGCTAATGACGGGGGGCTGAGGGTGTAGGATGGCTAGTGACGGTGTCCGAGGGTGTAGGATGGCTAGTGACGGTGCCGAGGGTGTAGGATGGCTAGTGACGGTGGCTGAGGGTGTAGGATGGCTAGTGACGGTGGCCGAGGGTGTAGGATGGCTAGTGACGGGTGGCTGAGGGTGTAGGATAGCTAGTGACGGGGAGCTGAGGGTGTAGGATGGCTAGTGACGGGTGGCCGAGGGTGTAGGATGGCTAGTGACGGTGGCCGAGGGTGTAGGATGGCTAGTGACGGTGGCCGAGGGTGTAGGATGGCTAGTGACGGTGGCCGAGGGTGTATGATGGCTAGTGACGGGGGCTGAGGGTGTAGGATGGCTAGTGACGGGGAGCTGAGGGTGTAGGATGGCTAGTGACGGGGGGCTGAGGGTGTAGGATGGCTAGTGACGGGGAGCTGAGGGTGTAGGATGGCTAGTGACGGGAGGCTGAGTGTGTAGGATAGCTAGTGACGGGAGGCTGAGGGTGTAGGATGGCTAGTGACGGGGGGCTGAGGGTGTAGGATGGCTAGTGACGGGGAGCTGAGGGTGTATGATGGCTAGTGACGGGGGCTGAGGGTGTAGGATGGCTAGTGACGGGGGGCTGAGGGTGTAGGATGGCTAGTGACGGGGGCTGAGTGTGTAGGATAGCTAGTGACGGATAGCTGAGGGTGTAGGATGGCTAGTGACGGGGGGCTGAGGGTGTAGGATGGCTAGTGACGGGGAGCTGAGGGTGTAGGATGGCTAGTGACGGTGTCCGAGGGTGTAGGATGGCTAGTGACGGTGACCGAGGGTGTAGGATGGTTAGTGACGGTGGCTGAGGGTGTAGGATGGCTAGTGACGGTGTCCGAGGGTGTAGGATGGTTAGTGACGGTGGCCGAGGGTGTAGGATGGCTAGTGACGGAAACCGAGGGTGTAGGATGGCTAGTGACGGGTGCCGAGGTGTAGGATGGCTAGTGACGGTGTCCGAGGGTGTAGGATGGCTAGTGACGGTGACCGAGGGTGAGGATGTGTAGGATGGCTAGTGACTAGTGACGGTGCCGAGGGTGTAGGATGGCTAGTGACGAGAGGGTGTAGGATGGGTGACTCCGAGGGTGTAGGATGGCTAGTGACGGTGGCCGAGGGTGTAGGATGGCTAGTGACGGTGGCCGAGGGTGTAGGATGGCTAGTGACGGGTGGACTGAGGGTGTAGGATGGCTAGTGACGGTGAGCCGAGGGTGTAGGATGGCTAGTGACGGTGGCCGAGGGTGTAGGATGGCTAGTGACGGGGAGCCGAGGGTGTAGGATGGCTAGTGACGGTGGCCGAGGGTGTAGGATGGCTAGTGACGGTGCCGAGGGTGTAGGATGGCTAGTGACGGTGGCCGAGGGTGTAGGATGGCTAGTGACGGTGTCCGAGGGTGTAGGATGGCTAGTGACGGTGGCCGAGGGTGTAGGATGGTTAGTGACGGTGAGGCGAGGATGTGTAGGATGGCTAGTGACGGGAGGTGAGAGGGTGTAGGATGGCTAGTGACGGTGCCTGAGGGTGTAGGATGGCTAGTGACGGTGGCCGAGGGTGTAGGATGGCTAGTGACGGTGGCCGAGGGTGTAGGATGGCTAGTGACGGTGAGCCGAGGGTGTAGGATGGTTAGTGACGGTGGCCGAGGGTGTAGGATGGCTAGTGACGGTGGCCGAGGGTGTAGGATGGCTAGTGACGGTGGCCGAGGGTGTAGGATGGCTAGTGACGGAGCCGAGGGTGTAGGATGGCTAGTGACGGTGGCCGAGGGTGTAGGATGGCTAGTGACGGAAACCGAGGGTGTAGGATGGCTAGTGACGGTGGCTGAGGGTGTAGGATGGCTAGTGACGGTGAGCCGAGGGTGTAGGATGGCTAGTGACGGTGGCCGAGGGTGTAGGATGGCTAGTGACGGTGGCCGAGGGTGTAGGATGGCTAGTGACGGTGGCCGAGGGTGTAGGATGGCTAGTGACGGTGGCCGAGGGTGTAGGATGGCTAGTGACGGTGGCTGAGGGTGTAGGATGGTTAGTGACGGTGGCCGAGGGTGTAGGATGGCTAGTGACGGGGAGCTGAGGGTGTAGAATGGCTAGTGACGGGTGGCCGAGGGTGTAGGATGGCTAGTGACGGTGCCGAGGGTGTAGGATGGCTAGTGACGGTGAGCCGAGGGTGTAGGATGGCTAGTGACGGTGGCCGAGGGTGTAGGATGGCTAGTGACGGTGAGCTGAGGGTGTAGGATGGCTAGTGACGGGAGTGCTCCGAGGGTGTAGGATGGCTAGTGACGGGAGGCTGGAGGGTGTAGGATGGCTAGTGACGGTGGCCGAGGGTGTAGGATGGCTAGTGACGGTGGCCGAGGGTGTAGGATGGCTAGTGACGGTGGCCGAGGGTGTAGGATGGCTAGTGACGGGGGGCTGAGGGTGTAGGATGGCTAGTGACGGGGAGCTGAGGGTGTAGGATGGTTAGTGACGGTGGCCGAGGGTGTAGGATGGCTAGTGACGGTGGCCGAGGGTGTAGGATGGCTAGTGACGGTGGCCGAGGGTGTAGGATGTCTAGTGACGGTGAGCCGAGGGTGTAGGATGGCTAGTGACGGTGGCCGAGGGTGTAGGATGGCTAGTGACGGAAACCGAGGGTGTAGGATGGCTAGTGACGGTGCCTGAGGGTGTAGGATGGCTAGTGACGGTGAGCCGAGGGTGTAGGATGGCTAGTGACGGTGGCCGAGGGTGTAGGATGGCTAGTGACGGTGGCCGAGGGTGTAGGATGGCTAGTGACGGTGACCTGAGGGTGTAGGATGGCTAGTGACGGTGGCCGAGGGTGTAGGATGGCTAGTGACGGTGGCTGAGGGTGTAGGATGGCTAGTGACGGGTGCCGAGGGTGTAGGATGGCTAGTGACGGTGAGCCGAGGGTGTAGGATGGTTAGTGACGGTGGCTGAGGGTGTAGGATGGCTAGTGACGGAAACCGAGGGTGTAGGATGGCTAGTGACGGTGGCTGAGGGTGTAGGATGGCTAGTGACGGTGAGCCGAGGGTGTAGGATGGCTAGTGACGGTGGCCGAGGGTGTAGGATGGCTAGTGACGGTGGCCGAGGGTGTAGGATGGCTAGTGACGGTGGCTGAGGGTGTAGGATGGCTAGTGACGGTGGCCGAGGGTGTAGGATGGCTAGTGACGGTGGCCGAGGGTGTAGGATGGCTAGTGACGGTGCCGAGGGTGTAGGATGGCTAGTGACGGTGACCGAGGGTGTAGGATGGCTAGTGACGGTGGCCGAGGGTGTAGGATGGCTAGTGACGGTGAGCTGAGGGTGTAGGATGGCTAGTGACGGTGAGCCGAGGGTGTAGGATGGCTAGTGACGGTGTCCGAGGGTGTAGGATGGCTAGTGACGGTGCCGAGGGTGTAGGATGGCTAGTGACGGTGGCCGAGGGTGTAGGATGGCTAGTGACGGTGAGCTGAGGGTGTAGGATGGCTAGTGACGGTGGCCGAGGGTGTAGGATGGCTAGTGACGGTGGCCGAGGGTGTAGGATGGCTAGTGACGGTGGCCGAGGGTGTAGGATGGCTAGTGACGGTGGCCGAGGGTGTAGGATGGCTAGTGACGGTGGCCGAGGGTGTAGGATGGCTAGTGACGGTGGCTGAGGGTGTAGGATGGCTAGTGACGGTGCTGAGGGTGTAGGATGGCTAGTGACGGTGGCCGAGGGTGTAGGATGGCTAGTGACGGGAGGCCGAGGGTGTAGGATGGCTAGTGACGGTGGCTGAGGGTGTAGGATGGCTAGTGACGGTGGCTGAGGGTGTAGGATGGCTAGTGACGGTGGCCGAGGGTGTAGGATGGCTAGTGACGGTGGCCGAGGGTGTAGGATGGTTAGTGACGGTAGCTGAGGGTGTAGGATGGCTAGTGACGGTGGCCGAGGGTGTAGGATGGCTAGTGACGGGGGCTGAGGGTGTAGGATGGTTAGTGACGGTGCCCGAGGGTGTAGGATGGTTAGTGACGGGGAACTGAGGGTGTAGGATGGCTAGTGACGGTGAGCTGAGGGTGTAGGATGCTTAGTAACGGGGGCAGAGGGTGTAGGATGGCTAGTGACGGGGGGCTGAGGGTGTAGGATGGTTAGTGACGGGGGGCCGAGGGTGTAGGATGGTTAGTGACGGTGACCGAGGGTGTAGGATGACTAGTGACGGTGGCTGAGGGTGTAGGATGGCTAGTGACGGTGGCCGAGGGTGTAGGATGGCTAGTGACGGTGACTGAGGGTGTAGGATGGCTAGTGACGGGAGACTGAGGGTGTAGGATGGCTAGTGACGGGAGACTGAGGGTGTAGGATGGCTAGTGACGGGAGACTGAGGGTGTAGGATGGCTAGTGACGGGAGACTGAGGGTGTAGGATGGCTAGTGACGGGAGACTGAGGGTGTAGGATGGCTTGTGACGGGTGGCTGAGGATGTATTATGGCTAGTGAATCCAAACTTATCCTTTCTCTCTATATATGTTCACAATTTACTCATTTGACCTCCTCCCAGAGCGATAGTAACCCAGCCGGACACTATTACCGCCCCGCCTGACGAGTACCTCCTGAGTGACAACGGTGTGGGCGCCGACAGCATCAAGAATGATGGCATCTACAGTGGCTTTATGACCAAGTTCTCCGCCGTTGGACGATACAACGTCAAGGCCGAGGTAATTAAGACCTTCACCGATCACCTGTTCATTGTTCCTGCACAATTATGTGCAGTATCCTTAAAATGCAAAATAAAATAAAATAATAATATTTGATAAAAAAATAACATTCATAACAAATGTAAACCAGCTTTCCAGCCGAAGAGGAGGCCCAAATGTAAGGATTTCCAAGTTAATGTTCCTGTTGTTATCCCCATAGTGGAGAGAGCACGTGTTTTCACAGAAGGGTAAGCAGGAATTGAGCTCTCTTCCCACAGCTGAGCCTGCTTTGCTAGTTTCCCTGGCACACAATCAATCTATCGATTTACAACCAAGTCTCTAATTATCACAGGTGAGGTGAGGGACAAGTGTGGTATCACAGGTGAGGTGAGGGACGAGTGTGGTATCACAGGTGAGGTGCGGGGCGAGTGTGGTATCACAGGTGAGGTGAGGGACAAGTGTGGTATCACAGGTGAGGTGAGGGACGAGTGTGGTATCACAGGTGAGGTGCGGGACGAGTGTGGTATCACAGGTGAGGTGCGGGACGAGTGTGGTATCACAGGTGAGGTGAGGGACGAGTGTGGTATCACAGGTGAGGTGAGGGACGAGTGTGGTATCACAGGTGAGGTGAGGGACGAGTGTGGTATCACAGGTGAGGCGCGGGACGAGTGTGGTATCACAGGTGAGGTGCGGGACGAGTGTGGTATCACAGGTGAGGTGCGGGACGAGTGTGGTATCACAGGTGAGGTGCGGGACGAGTGTGGTATCACAGGTGAGGCGCGGGACGAGTGTGGTATCACAGGTGAGGTGCGGGACGAGTGTGGTATCACAGGTGAGGTGAGGGACGAGTGTGGTATCACAGGTGAGGTGCGGGACGAGTGTGGTATCACAGGTGAGGTGCGGGACGAGTGTGGTATCACAGGTGAGGTGCGGGACGAGTGTGGTATCACAGGTGAGACGCGGGACGAGTGTGGTATCACAGGTGAGGCGCGGGACGAGTGTGGTATCACAGGTGAGACGCGGGCCGAGTGTGGTATCACAGGTGAGGTGCGGGACGAATGTGGTATCGGTACACCTCAGCAGGAACTACCTCATGGGATAATAACGACTCATGAGAAAATCAGTTGGAGCCATGAGTAGGATTTGAAACTGCTCACTTGGTAGTGACATATCACCTCTGATACATCACGTTAATGGTATTTCATTGTGAAATGACTCGTCTTTGGTTTGTTCAGGTGACCAGTACAGGGAAAACTGTGGCCAACAATGGTGCCACGCCAAGTGGCAGCAGTGGCAGGCGCCGACGGCGCTCCACGTCTTCGGCCAATTATGATCAAGGTGGTAAGTCTTTCTCAAGCAGCGTCACAGTATTCCTTTATCGGATCTGGCATTAAATGTCTGTGTTTTTGTAACTTTTTTTTTAAATATCAGATCATTTGATTGTAAATTTGCTAATAATATTTGTAATGCAAGTATAAATTGGTTCCAAACAACATATTTAACATATATGAGTGAATTTAGGTTTGTTGATTTTATTGCAGAACCGGAGCCTTGCTGCGGCAGCGTCATGCCCCTTGATGAAGCCAACGCCTCGCCCACAGGCAACTTTTCCAGAGTGGCCACCGGGGGCGTCCTCAAGGTAACTCTTATTATTATTTACAGTAACTACTTAAATAAAATGAGCTAAGTGCAGTCGGGATGAAAGCTACACTCATGGTGTCCTTTCTTACCAGTACTGTCATATGACATTATGAATCCACTGATTTTGGTGTCCACCGCCTTCTCATTTACCGGGTTCCAATCATCTCCACTGTTTGCAAAAGTGAACTTTTGCGAACAGAGGTGGTTATCTATCTTGAGGTTATCTTGAGATAATTTCGGGGCTTTAGTGTCCCCGCGGCCCGGTCCTCGACCAGGCCTCCACCCCCAGGAAGCAGCCCGTGACAGCTGACTAACTCCCAGGTACCTATTTACTGCTAGGTAACAGGGGCATTCAGGGTGAAAGAAACTTTGCCCATTTGTTTCTGCCTCGTGCAGGAATCGAACCCGCGCCACAGAATTACGAGTCCTGCGCGCTATCCACCAGGCTACGAGGCTACGAGGCCACCCCCCTACGAGGTGTGATTAGATCTCTTCTTGTTCTCTCTTTCTACTGATGTAGGGTTCAATGAACTTTGCCTATTATTGTATCCCAATTCACTTAATTCTGGTACCAAATATGAAGCATATATATATATATATATATGTTCCTGTCCTCTTCAGCGGGGTCTGACAACTTGGTGAAGGAAATCCTACCTGAGCACCTAGTTCAACAGGCAAGGGTACATGATCCCAGCTTCACAGACTGCACAACCAAATGGGTTTCTCTCGCAGGACCAGCACCCCAACCACCGCCTTCTGAAGCCCATAAGCAATCCAGCTGGGATCGCCCCATTGCCGACCAAGAAGCTGCGACTTTGCTAGAAGCTGCGACAACACCACATGACACTGCCCGACTTAGAGCTGTAGCAGCTCCCCATGCAGGTGATTTCCTATTAGCAACCCCAATGTCAGCAACCGGCACTCGTCTCACACCGCAGGCCCTCCGAATTGCCGTGGCTCTCCGCCTCGCTGCCCCAATCCACACCGAATACAGGTGTATTTGCGGCTAGGCAGAGGCCGACAGATACGGACGGCATGGCTTTCTCTGCCAAAGGACAGGAGGATGGCATGCAAGACACGGCGAGGTCAATGACATTATTAAGAGAAGCCTTACCACAGCCGGTTGTCCAGCAGAGAGAGAGCCCCGTTACCTAATGTTCTGCAACTCTGATGAGCCTGTCGGTCGCCCAGACGAAATCACGGTGAACCCCTGGAAGAATGGTAGACAGTTGGTGTGGGACTACACTTGCGTTTCAACTTTAGCCAATACCTATGTTGACTTCAGTGCTACACAAGCAGGAGGAGCTGCCAATCACCGGGAAGCGGCCAAGTCATGTAAATACAGAGACCTTGAGCACCACTACAATTTTGTCCCCATTGCCTCAGAGACACTGGGTGCCTGGGGTAAAAGTGCTGCTAGCTTTTTGAAGGAGTTGGGGTCTAAGCTAATCGAAACAACTAGAGACCCTAGAGCTGCCAGTTTTCTTTTTCAGCGCCTTAGTGTGGCAATCCAGAGAGGAAATGCTCACTGCATCCATGGTTCCTGCCCGCCATCTGTGGAGCTGGAGGAGCTATTCAACTTGTGACAAGCAGCCTTGTACCCTGCATGTAATCAATATTGTAACTTTTTTTTGTGTAATGACATTTTCAAATAAAGTTAGATAAATATACACACATACCAAAAGAATAGGGGTGGTAGGAGAAGAAAATATCAAAGTGTTCAGTGAGGATCCACAAGGTCTTCTCTGAGTAGTCTATATTTTCTTCTCCGAGGCTATGGATCCCTACACTTGCACTAGAGGTGGTACCCCTTCTAGGTAAAAAATAAATATATATATACATATATATATATATATATATATATATATATATATATATATATATATATATATATATATATATATATATATATATATATATATATATATATATATATATGTATATATCTTTATTTTTTTACTTCTTTGTTTCACAAGGAGTGGGTTTTATTGTAGTGCCGCATACTCTAGTACTGAGGTCTTCTTCCTTCTGTCACTATCTCATAATATATCATTTGTGGCGTTATAAGGAACTTTTTCAGAGCCAGGGCAGTTAACAAGTGGAATGCATTAAGAATTGATGTGGTAGAGGAAGACTCCATATTCAGTTTCAAATATAGATATGACAGAGCCCAATAGGCTCAAGAACCTGTACGCCAGTTGATTGACAGTTGAGAGACGGGACCAAATAGCTGAACCGCAAGCATGACTAGGCATGTACACATTACACGCACTGAGCTGAACTTACCCAGATGTGCTTGCAAGGGTCAAGCTTGTCGAGAGGTGCTTGCAAGGGTCAAGCTTGTCGAGATGTGCTTGCAAGGGTCAAGCTTGTCGAGATGTGCTTGCAAGGGTCAAGCTTGTCGAGATGTGCTTGCAAGGGTCAAGCTTGTCGAGATGTGCTTGCAAGGGTCAAGCTTATCGAGAGGTGCTTGCAAGGGTCAAGCTTATCGAGAGGTGCTTGCAAGGGTCAAAATCATCTGCTTGACTCCACCTTCCCTTTTATTGCTCATTTTAATGAATTCCCAATACTTTTTGTTATGAAACCTGCTTTTAAAACTGTGAACTGTGAAAACTTGGCAAACTGTTTGCCAAGTAAACCTTGACAACATTTATTTTTTTTTTTTTTTTTTTTATTTATTTTTTTTTTTTTATAATAACTAAGTGCTTCAATAATTCTTTGTCGGTCATCTATGGTCTCAGTCTTCCACTTATACTCCAGAACATGTCGTCTCTATTTACTATGTCAGTTGTTAAAATAATCTATCCTAGTACAGAGCAATTCAAATGTTCACAAAAAGGTCTCATTGTCTCTCACTTCTAAAATTTTACCTACTAATTAATATTTTTTCTACAAGGTAACAGAAATACCTGCAGCTGGGACTGATGGCATTTCACCAGTCAAGGTGGATGATCTGCAAGTCATATCCATTACAATGTTCTCCGAGAGTCTGGGAGCCAACACCATCACACTCTCCTGGACTGCTCCTGGGGATGACCTGGATTCTGGAATAGGTATTAATCTTTCATCTTTAAACAACATTTACATCATCCCTATGCTTAAAATTATCAGTATTTTGAAAGGAAAAAAGAGGACAGGGCTCTCAGAAGCACCCCTCCATTTAACCTCTTCTTCCCAACACACTATCACTATTACACACTAATAATAATAGTAATAATAATAATAGTAATAATAATAACAATAATAATAATAATAATAATAATAATAGTAATAATAATAATAATAATAATAATAATAATAATAATAATAATAATTGCATATGACATATTCACTTTCATTTTGATTCAGTAAAACATATGAATAACACCTCAAAGCACCAGAAAAATAAGTTTTAAATAAGAGAATGTTCATTAGATTGAACCATAGACTGCCTGTCAAACTGAATGCCCAATAGTTACACTCTCATACATGGGCTATGCAAGTGAGACGACCCAGGTTCGAATCCTCAGGAAAATGGGAAAATTAGTAACCATTAATTCACAGATGGACTTTGAGCATGCAACAATAACGAAGACTTAGATGTTTATGGCATAGCGGACCATGTTTCAGGACCGTAAAGTTTTATTTATTTATTTACATATATACAACAAGGTACATTGGGTTTATGAGAGTACATAGCATAGATGATTTTACATTCTTGTAAAGCCGCTAGCACGCATAACGTTTCGTTAAAGAACGAAACGTTAGAGTTAAAGAAAGTCTAGAAAAATGCCTAGGAAGTAAGAGTTCTAAGTTTAAAGACAGGAATTGGTAGACATTTTCCAGTACTCTACAGTTAATTTTACACTTTAAAACGTTTATTCAACACACACACACACACACACACACACACACACACACACACACACACACACACACACACACACACACACACACACACACACACACACACACACATGTGACAAAGGCTATAGGCCCAGATGGAATCTCACCTTGGGTTCTAAAGGAAGGAGCAAAAGAACTGTGCCTACCACTCTCCATAGTGTATAACAAATCTCTGGTAACAGGGGAACTGCCAGATATTTAGAAAGCAGCTAACATAGTCACGATATACAAGAAAGGGGATAGACAGGAGGCACTGAACTACAGGCCTGTGTCCCTAACCTGCATACCATGCAAGCTGATGGAGAAGATTGTGCGAAAAAAACTAGTGGAGCATCTGGAGAGAAGAAACTTTGTAACACAGCATCAACATGGGTTCAGGGATGGCAGGTCCTGCCTCACAGGGTTACTTGAATTCTACGACCAGGCAACAAAAATAAGGCAAGAAAGAGAAGGGTGAGCAGACTGCATATTTTTGGATTGTCAGAAAGCCTTTGATACAGTGCCACACCAGAGGCTAGTGAGAAAGCTGGAGATGCCCGCTGGAGTGAAAGGGAAGGTACTCCATTGGATAAAGGAGTACCTAAGCAACAGGAGACAACGAGTCTGTGTGAGGGGTGAGGTCTCAGACTGGCGAGACGTTACAAGTGGAGTCCCGCAGGGGTCAGTCCTTGGACCTATACTGTTTCTGGTATATGTAAATGATCTCCCAGAGGGTATAGATTCGTTCCTCTCAATGTTTGCCGACGATGCAATAATTATGAGGAGGATTGAAACAGAGGATGATAGTAGGAGGCTACAAGATGACCTAGACAGACTAAGTGAATGGTCCAACAAATGGCTGTTGAACTTCAACCCGAGTAAATGCAAAGTAATGAAACTAGGCAGTGGAAACAGGAGGCCAGACACAGGATACAGAATAGGAGATGAAGTACTTAATGAAACAGACAGAGAGAAAGATCTAGGAGTTGATATCACACCAAACCTGTCTCCTGAAGCCCAAATAAAGAGAATAACGTCTGCGGCATATGCGAGGCTGGCTAACATCAGAACGGCGTTCAGGAACCTGTGTAAGAAATCATTCAGAATCTTGTACACCACATATGTAAGACCAATCCTGGAGTATGCGGCCCCAGCATGGAGCCCGTACAAGACGAAGCTGGAAAAAGTCCAAAGGTATGCTACTAGACTAGTCCCAGAACTAAGAGGCATGAGTTATGAGGAAAGGCTGCGGGAAATGCACCTTTCGACACTGGAAGACAGAAGAGTAAGTGGGGACATGATCACAACCTACAAAGTCCTCAGGAGAATCGACCGGGTAAACAAGGATGAACTATTCAACCCTGGCGGGACGCGAACAAGGGGACACAGGTGGAAGCTGAGTACCCAAATAAGCGACAGAGACATTAGAAAGAACTTTTTCAGTGTCAGAGTAGTTAGTAAATGGAATGCACTAGGAAGTGATGTGGTGGAGGCTGACTCCATACACAGTTTCAAATATAGATATGACAGAGCCCAGTAGGCTCAGGAATCTGTACATCAGTTGATTGACGATTGAGAGGCGGGACCAAAGAGCCAGAGCTCAACCCCCGCAAACACAACTAGGTGAGTACAACTAGGTGAGTACACACACACACACACACACACACACACACACACACACACACACACACACACACACACACACACACACACACACACACACACACACACACACACACACACACACACACACACACACACACACACACAACACACACACACACACACACACACACACACACACACACACACACACACACACACACACACACACACACATATACACACACATACACAGACACACACATACACAAGAATGAGAGGAGAAGATGAACCAGCAATGCTTGATTTGATATTTACCCTAAATGAGTGGGATATAAGGGAAGTCAAGATGGAAGTGCCCTTGGGAATGAGTGATCACAGTGTATTGAACTTTGAGCACCTGGTAGAGCTAGGAATTATCTCCCCCAAAAAGAACTAGAAAACAAAAGGCTGGCATACTGAAATGGAAATTATGAGGAGATGAGAAGCTTCCTGAGGGAAATACCTTGGGACACAGACCTCAGAGATAAGTCTGTACAAGATATGATGGACTATGTCACCCAAAAGTGTCAGGAGGCAGTAAGCAGATACATCCCGGCCCAAAAGGAAAAATCCGAGAAGCAAAAGACGAATCCATGGTATAATAGGGCATGTATGGAAGCGAAGAAACTGAACAAAAGGGCGTGGAGGAACTTCCGGAATAACAAAACACCAGAAAGCAGAGAGAGATACCAGAGAACAAGGAATGAGTATGTCAGGGTGAGAAGAGAAGTAGAGAAAAGTTATGAAAATGATATAGCAAACAAAGCCAAGACCGAACCAAAGCTACTCCACAGTCACATCAGAAGGAAAACAACAGTGAAAGAACAGGTAGTGAAACTTAGAACAGGCGAGGACAGGTATACAGAGAATGACAAAGAGGTGTGTGAAGAACTAAACAAGAGGTTCCAAGAGGTCTTCACAACAGAACAAGGTGAGGTCACTGTGCTAGGAGAAAGGGAAGTAAACCAGGCGGCCTTGGAAGGGTTCGAAATTACGAGAGAGGAGGTCAAGAGACACCTGCTGGATCTGGATGTTAGAAAGGCTGTTGGTCCAGACGGGATCTCACCATGGGTACTGAAAGAGTGTGCAGAGGCACTTTGCTTGCCACTCTCCATAGTGTATAGTAGGTCACTGGAGACGGAAGACCTACCAGAAATATGGAAGACAGCGAATGTGGTCCCAATATACAAAAAGGGTGACAGGCAAGAGGCACTGAACTACAGGCCAGTGTCCTTGACTTGTATACCATGCAAGGTGATGGAGAAGATCGTGAGAAAAAACCTGGTATCACATCTGGAGAGAAGGGACTTCGTGACAAATCACCAACATGGGTTCAGGGAGGGCAAATCTTGCCTGGCTGGCTTAATAAAATTCTACGACCAGGTGATAAAGATTAAGCAAGAAAGAGAGGGCTGGGCGGACTGCATTTTCTTGGATTGTCGGAAAGCCTTTGACACAGTACCGCATAAGAGGGTGGTACATAAGCTGGAGAGACAGGCAGGTGTAGCTGGTAAGGTGCTCCAGTGGATAAGGGAGTACCAAAGCAATAGGAAGCAGAGAGTTACGTGAGGGGTTAAACCTCCGATTGGCGTGAAGTCACCAGTGGAGTCCCACAGGGCTCTGTACTCGATCCTATCTTGTTTCTGAAATATGTAAATGATCTCCCGGAGGGTATAGATTCATTTCTCTCATTGTTTGCGGACGATGCCAAAATTATGAGAAGGATTAAGACAGAAGAGGACTGTTTGAGGCTTCAAGAAGACCTAGACAAACTGAAGGAATGGTCGAACAAATGATTGTTAGAGTTTAACCCAACCAAATGTAATGTAATGAAGATAGGTGTAGGGAGTAGGAGGCCAGATACAAGGTATCATCTGGGAGAGGAAATTCTTCAGGAGTCAGAGAAAGAAAAAGACTTGGGGGGTTGATATCACGCCAGATCTGTCTCCTGCAGCACATATCAAGCGGATAACATCAGCGGCATATGCTAGGCTGACCAACATACGAACGGCATTCAGAAACTTGTGTAAAGAATCATTCGGAACTTTGTATACCACATATGTCAGGCCGATCCTGGAGTATTCAGCCCCAGCATGGAGTCCATATCTAGTCAAGGATAAGACTAAATTGGAAAAGGTTCAAAGGTTTGCCACCAGACTAGTACCCGAGCTGAGAGGTATGAGCTACGAGGAGAGACTACGGGAATTAAACCTCACTTCGCTGAAAGACAGAAGAGTTAGGGGGACATGATCACCACATTCAAGATTCTCAAGGGAATTGATAGGGTAGATAAAGACAGGCTATTTAACACAAGGGGCACACGCACTAGGGGATACAGGTGGAAACTGAGCGCCCAAATGAGCCACAGAGATATTAGAAAGAACTTTTTTAGTGTCAGAGTGGTTGACAAATGGAATGCATTAGGAAGTGATGTGGTGGAGGCTGACTCCATACACAGTTTCAAGTGTAGATATGATAGAGCCCAATAGGCTCAGGAATCTGTACACCTGTTGATTGACGGTTGGGAGGCGGGACCAAAGAGCCAGAGCTCAACCCCCGCAAGCACAACTAGGTGAGTACGCACACACACCCACGCACTCAAATAATTTATCACTAACAAGTCCCCCACACATAAATTTGTTGCAAAGTTGCTTAAATGATTAAAGGTTCGGTCCGAAGAATGCTAGAAGATACTCGCATGCCTTAAATTATATTATCTGAATTTATCTGAGGACCATCTTCTATAGTGACCTTGACAGGGACAGGTAGCCAGTGGCTTGTCAAAGGCCCCTACATTATTCCTCAATTACAAAATGTACATTCATAAATGTAAATCAACAAACTCACACTGAACATAAAAACGTATCATATTTTATTTGGAAACAAATAATCTAAATAAAATTGACTCTTAAATGAATAATCTAAAGACTGAGTTAAAAGTAAGGTATATTCCTTAGTTTATGTACTGATTAGTGACTTAAATTCTACTCATAATTACAATAAAAAAATCCAAAGCAGTTAGCATTCTCTTAAAAACCTGATATTATGCAGTCCACTGCTCTTCTCACACTATATTACTCACAAATTGGTCCATATCTAACTTGCGGTACCTGTTGCACACTCATCACACTCATCACTCCACTCACACTCATCACACTCATCACTCCACTCACACTCATCACACTCATCACTCCACTCACACTCATCACACTCATCACTCCACTCACACTCATCACACTCATCACTCCACTCACACTCATCACACTCATCACTCCACTCACACTCATCACACTCATCACTCCACTCACACTCATCACACTCATCACACTCATCACACTCATCACTCCACTCACACTCATCACACTCAACACTCCACTCACACTCATCACTCCACTCACACTCATCACACTCATCACTCCACTCACACTCATCACACTCATCACACTCATCACTCCACTCACAATAACTTAATACACTTGTTGCCTGAGAAACCTGTTTTTGTTTTTAATGTCCTCAATAAAGACTAAAGAATATATTGGTAATGTTATTCTGATTTTGAAAACAAAAAGGATAATATTTAGGAAAAGGAAATCACTGGGATACACATAAAAGTAGAAGACCCAAAGAATCTGTGAGTAACTGAGGAGAAAAAGCAGGAATGACACTGAGTAATGCTTGGAGTAGCAATATCAGTGGGTCTCTTGATACAATGTCTGCATAGTTTAACTTATTCCTCATTATTTCCAGCTTCTGCGTACGTGGTCCGACTGAGTCCCAACTTTCATGATTTGCTGGAAGGGTCGTTTGACCAGGCTCCGCAAGACACTCTTCTTCCCGTTACCGTGGAGGACCTTCATAGTGCTAATGTCTTCCGTGAGAGTGGCAGCAAGGTCAATATCACCTTAAAGTTCACCAGACGCATAGCTTATGACCAGCCATATTATGTGGGACTGCAGGCGCTTGACGAAACTGGAAACAAAAGGTAGAAAAATGTTCATCTTACGTTCTTAAATTGTTAACACTTCCTTCACAGATTATAAACAAATTATCTCTTTAGTTTCCTTCTCTGTCTAATGAGTCATATCCAATCCATACTGCGTGAATGTTTTGGGAATATTAATTGTGCTCAATAAGTTAATTATATATTTAATTAGCAGATAATAATAACAGAATTAATAACTGGTATACATTATAGACGGAGTTTTTCACAACCCCCCCCCCCTTCAAATACACAAGTAAATCAAAATAATATGATTAAGGCGTACCTCTGGGGTTACCCAGTACGTTCGTCCTATTCCCATTCTTCTTCAAATATTTTCCCATAAATATTATTGTGATTTCCTTGTGTATTTGAAGCGAGTGTTTGGTGGAATATTCATTTACCTTCACCAGAAGCAATATGGGTTATATGTAAAACTTCGATTGGCTACCATCGTGATGCCTTCAGACTCCTAGTAGATCCAGGCGGATCTCAGGTTATACGATTCTCACCATTATCGCATATTATGTGCAAAGTTCTTTGTTCCAAAGAAACTTTGGAACCATTTTTTTTTACATATACCCATAAATTTGGGAGTTATAACTTTTGTGTCTAAATTTGGTGCATATTTGGATGACTTTATTGACAATTTTTTTTTTTACAATAGACTATACTCCAGGCGCCATGCGTCTCAGATGCTATGGGAACAAGGGTGTATTAACCTTCCAATTGGTTGTATTTGCCTGATTTTGCTATTTTTCTATGACTGACCGCCCCAGCTGCTGGATCAGCACCGAAGTGTATGTAGGTGTCAGCCAGGGTGGATGACTTCATGTGTAGTCCCACACCAGTTGTTTTCCCCTTTTACCAAGAGTATATTGTGATGCCATCTAGGCAAAGTGCAGGGTCATCCAGGTTTTGGTCCCTTAGGATGCGAGGTTCTCACTCTGCTGGGCACTGAGCTGAGACAATGCTCCTCTTGATATGCCTTGCATGACTAATCTCGTGATGATTAATCTCGTTGTGCCTTGCATGACAGCCCTTAGAGCTTCCATAGTGCAACCCATGCAATCCATATTGGTCTGCTTCCACCCTGTTGCAAATACAATTGTATTCAGTGTGAATTGGGGCACCAAAATGGAGAGCTACCGCTACATGAAGGGATTCTGGATCTAGACGTGTGCCTATTGCCGAAATGGGTACTGCAAGAAGGAAATCTCCTTCATGGGAAGCACACACTGCTCTGAGGCGGGTTTTCTCCTTATCTGACGTTGCAGCAGTGAGCATAGTATCAGTAATTTTTTCCACTAGTGGGTGGTCCCAGCCGGACTGTTTCAGTTTTTTTGTTAGATCTATAATGGGTGCTGGGGCTGCAATAGCATCCTACTGATTTGAACATTCATTGAAAGCAGGATTGAGTATTCCTGCTGAATCACTCAGATGTTCTGTTAAGATATCTCTTACAAGGTCGTACGATGTATGGGAGAAGGAAAGGAAGGCTGGTAGAGCAATCTGGGAGGCTGTGCGGACACCAAGGCCGCCGAGCCTTGCAGGAAGAGTTGCTTGCTCCTATTGAGAGTCGTCCAACGGAAGGTTCAGGACTTTCTCCAGCATGGACCTCAGAAGGGTGTGATACTCATTTAATTTAGGGCTGTTGTATGATGGAGAACACCTCAGAAAGTAAGTCAACTTAGGGAGAGATAGGCATCTTGTGAGGAGGAAGAGAGCATCATTATTATCAATCCTCTCCAGCGTTCACCTCGGGTTCGAAATCTGATTTTCGGATTCCGAGCCCTTTGTTAAAATTTACAAGGTAAAATAAGTGTGGGAAAGTTGGATTGCTTCTGTATAGGGAAAGACAAATATATGGAGGAATTTTGCTGGGTAAAAGCAGGGGGCTGCCTCACATGGGCAAATAGGCCCTGTGATGTTTGCATTTTGTCTTATGGTTTTAGATAACTATTGATCATTTGGGTGACTTTCTTGTACAAAATACTCAGTGCCAAAATTGACAATCTAATTAGTATGTGTTATTAATAATGTAGTTGTATGTTTCAGACTATAACATATGTAATGCTATGCCTTAAAAATAACTAAAGTCTGTTTCTTCCACAGTAAAGTGTCCAACATTGTCATGTTCACTGTCGAGGAGAAACTGGAAATGCCACAGTGGGCTCTAGATAAGATGCAGAAAATAAGAATGGATACTGCTTCATTTAAGAATCTTAAGACAAAAAGTATACCACAAACCCTCAATGAATAAGTTGCAAAGAAGATATGTGTAGTTAAGAGAGCCCATACGATACCACACTTGTTATATAGTAAATTGAGCTTCACAGAGAATAGGATATAACTAGGGTGCCAACATAAAAGAAAAAAGAACTGAGTTGATAGTCCGGTGATCTTCAGTGTAACGTAATGGCATTTCACTTCAGCAGCGAGTCTATGTGCCTCAAATCATATGCTTACACACATATTTGAGCTAACCAACGTTAACCTAATCTAAATTATTTTGTCCTTATTCAACATAAACAAGTGCAACATTACTATGCAGTGAATGACAAGGACATAATTTATATTGTCAAGACTTGTGTTAAGTAATGGTAATGTCTTATTACAGACATAATAACATAGGATAAAAAAACACTTATGTAAAACACTTATGTGTCAATGAATAATAGTCATTGAGATTTAAATCTCGTCCTAACCATATGCTTAGACGTTAATATTGCTAATGCACTCAGTTGAGTGCTAAAGACTTTTTGTAATTGAAATCTTTTCATAAAATACACAAATACATAAATGTTTTTCTTTTTTGTCCTTTGAATCTTATTCCTACTCCATGCTGTGTAATACTCCTCTCTGGTGGAATAATACTGTGACAAAAAATACAGGCAGGTATTATTCCTAATTATGTCATTTTATTCTTTCCTCCCCCCCCCCACTCCCCCCCCCCCACCAAAACTGAGTATCGAAACTACAATTTTTTACTATTCTTCTAGCAAGAAGCTACCACAACCTCAATGTGGAAATTACTTGCATTGGACCGCTTTTGCTAGCATTCTTGAATTAAACAGTGTGTAACACGGGGGGGGGGGGAGGAATCTCTGCTCTTTCTCCTTCCTTTTCCCCTTTACTCTATACTCGTATTCTGATTTAGCTTCTTCAATCAAAGGGACCCCAGAGCTAGTACTCAAGCCAAATCCCACGCCAAGTGGTCTTGAGCCGTTTAGATCGGCTAAGATTCTACAGCCTTTATGACGTGGAACTAGGTCCCTAGCAAACTCTGAAATCTCCTTTCGCTGCCACCACCAGACCATTAACACGGAGCAATAACCGAGGTTTGGATCGATTATGCTCTTAAAGAACCTTGGGGCTTGATCCCCAGTTAGTTAGAATAGGAGGGATGAATCTATGTTAAGTGTGGAAATATTAACAAACAAAGGGATACTGAATTCTTAATCTGGGTTAGGCTCTGCGGCCCAACGAAAACTCGGCCTTGTGGAAACCACATGTCCAGGACAATGAATACTAGAACATGAAATGGAAATTAATAAAAAGGCAATTTACTAACTAAATGATTTATTCAAAATCTTAAACAAAATCTGAAACAAAGCACTCCCTAGCTGAACACTCCCTGACTTTAAGGCACGAGATGAACTAACTTCCTGTACCAAACTTATAGCAACTATACCTTTTTATTCGACCAGCTGATGGACGCTGAATCTATTAGGAGAGGCAGGTGGTACACCTTCTCCAGTTGCTGACCACGACCACACTGCTCTACCTCTCTCTGCTCCACACAGAAGCCAGATGGGTATTCCTACGCTTGGCTTACTAAGTTTACTCGTAGGGTTTAAGTTGAACAACTAATCTCTGTTGTACTGAACGACCCAGATGGTTGGACTCTTTTACTGAAGGTAATTACACAGGCATCTTAGGGAAGAGCTATTTCCGATTACAAAATGGCTATTTGTCCTTTGAGAATTACTGAATGTGGAAACTCTGATGACCAGTGACCGCCAGGTCGTCAAGGTCACTCCGCGCCAAGGCCTAGTCCCGGCTCGTGACGTCACTGATGGAGACTTACTATAGTATTCTGACAATTTAGGATACTCTTGTTACTTTAAACAGAAATACTATTGAATACAATTTGAATGAAGACTAATTTCTCTAAATTACTGAATTCTGTAAAATAATTAATTATACGTTGCTTTAAGACAAAGGCGCCAGCCATTTTGTATTTCAACCGCCAATTCCCCGTGCTCCCAGAGTCAGGTCAACTACAACATGACTCCAACTTCTCAAACTCTCATGTCTGAGAGAGAACATACTGGATAATTCCTACAACAACCTAGTTTGTTACAACCCCCCCCCCCCCCCCCGCACAAGTAACTTAGTAAACATTGTTAATTTTTTCTTCTGAAAGTAACGAGGTTTAGTATCCAAACCCTCAATAACCTCAAACTCATGCCTCAAACAAAAGCTAACCTAACTAAGAAAAAATGACAATCATCAGATTGTCCAGCAACATCACAATAAACATGTTCAAATTCATCAATGTCTCGGATGTCAACTGACAGCAATCCTCCAACATCAGGAAACATACATCCTATACTTACTGACATAGCTAAATAAAACATCCTTACTCTAACAGCAAAGACTAGCTATTAAAATTCCTTGGCTCTTCACTAGCCAGCCTCATATGTTCCCTAGAGCCGGACACACCGTGCTCAACATTAAACATAAAACTTATATCTACAGACTGAACTTTCAGTCATCCGGGAGCGTACCACTGAACTCTACTAAGTTCACATCCGTGTACTATCCACTCCCCAATCAATGTCAACCTTGACATTCTAATAAACACACCTAGTTTTTATTACATGTGTCTAAAAATATATAAAAAAAATTCTACTATAACTATATCACAGGTTTCAGCTGACTGTACAGCCAAGTGTCCGCACTCACTGTAAGAGTGTCAATGTTTTTATTGGTCCGCCTCTCCTGTGTTCAAAAATTCTGAAAAATATAGCACAGCATAATTTTCCATAACCGTGTGTTCTGGGCTTAAGACAATCACACAGGGGTTTTGATTTTAATTACTGACCAATCTATAGCGTAGAATTTTCATATATCATTATACCAGAATAATATATAGAGTTTGTATATACATTTGTATATATAATATATATCTGCAAATAAATACGTTAACAAGTGACATACCTGGGAGCCCAAATGAATCACTTATCGAAGTAGGCCAAAATTCGAACTCAAGACGAAGCTCCCAAAAAAATAACTTTGCTTAGTCTGGAATAGCTTCCGAGTACCAGGAAAACGAATCAAGACTGGGTCTTCAAGAGCCAAGATTTCCACTAGGCATACTTGATCATACAACGAGGTCACTAAGTTTTTGGTTCAGAATCAATGGAAAAGTAAAATATACAGCACGTTCAAGAAGTAAGTAATTATAAAAAGAAGACACCAAGGCAGGAGGGCTATGTAGCACCAGCAAATGCGTGGGATATTCTAAAGGTGCTAAATATCACTAAGGAAGCCAATACAAAAACAAAAAGCACATAAGGCAAACGATATCAATAGTATGGGATTCACCAAGGATTATATCGAGGGACAGGTGACCGCGAGGGACAGTCGGGAAGCAAGATGCACGCACATCCTGGAAGTCAGGACCTTCAACAAGGATATGTACGACCATAAGAGGGACAATGAAGTTTGGACAATAAAGATCACGGGGGCGCTCTATTAAGTGCTTATGAGATAAACGTGTATGTCCAATACGTAACCTCGCCAGAAACGTTTCCTATTGCCAGTTACGGTGGAAGAAGGAAGGCCATGGGGATACGCTACCCTTAATTTAAGAGCACGCGTTTGTTGCCAGTAACAGAAGACCATCGGTCTGGTCATCGGGCACGGATTGAGGAATGAATAACTGGTTAGAAGTCGAAATAAGGGACACCTTTGCGGGAAATGGGACAAGTGCAGATAGCCGCCTTAGCAGCAACAGTCCGCACGCTCATTTAAGGAACCGCCAATATGGCTGGGAACCCAGCCAAACACGACTCACTTAAATCTGCTGGATATAAGAAATAGCCAATGTTGAATTTCGACTACCACAGGATCGACAGCATTAAGGGACTCTATAGCCATGAGGGCACTACGAGAGTCAACTACAACAACAAAGGAAGACTGACAGCGTGAAAGCAGTTGACGAAGAGCATATAAAAATACATAAAGTTCTCCCGTGAAGATGCTAGTCTCCGGAGGCAGGCGACACATATACATGTAGTCAGAAAATACAACGGAGTAGCCTACACCGTTGGAAGACTTAGACCCATCTGTGAAGATGGAGATGGAGCGGGAGTGTGCAGAAAAGTGAGCAAGGAAAGACGTTTTAAAACTGTAAAAGGGGTAAAAGCTTTTGTCATGTGGGACAAAGTTTTACAAAACTTAGGAAGATGGATGCTTCTTGAGGGCAAGGATGGAATGACACTAAAAGAAATATTGGCAACACGAACCTACAGAGAACCTTGCAAGCGAGACAATCTTACAGAACGGGGAAGGTAGTGACAGGGCCGACAGGAAGGGTAGTGGTCAAAGTGCGATATAAGCGAGAGTGAGGGTGCTGTTGGGAACACGCTAAGTAGCGAAGACAATAGCGATCATAGCGATCCTGAAGAGACAGGATGCCGGTTTCAACATACAGGCTCTGGGTAGGAGTTGACCAAAAGGCACCTGAGCTGAGGTGCAACTCAGTATGGTGAAGAACATCAAGACAACGAAGAGTTGAGGGAGGGGCAGACGAGTAATCAGGACAGCCATAATGGAGTTTAAACAGCACGAGAGAGGAATGTATAGAGAGGAGCGTGCTGCTCTATCCGTGTGTGCCCCAGGAAGTATGGGACAAGACCTTAAGTAAGTTAAGGGCCCTTAGAACATTACACTCGGGGGTAAGAAATATGGCGTGGTCAAAACAAACGAGTGTAAAGCGACAAAGGGGGTCGAAGAACGACCTGCTTCCGAGTGAAGGTCATAGCACAAGTCTTAGTAGTAGAGAAATGATGCCATGATTGGTAGCCCAGAACGACACGCATCAATCGCAAGTTAAAGCCGTCGTTGGAAGAAAGGCGAGTCATCACCTTTGCAGCAGAGGGTAAGATCGTCGACATAGAGCGCTGAGAAAATGTCAAAGGGAATGGAGGAAACAATTAAGGGCAACCAGGAAAAGAGTAGTGCTCAGAACACTACCTTGGGGTACACCTACGTATTGCCGAAAAGAGGCAAAGAGAGAGTGTGGTACCAAGCCTCACTCTTTAGGAACGACTAGAGAGAAAGCTTTGCAGGAAGAGAGGGAGATTACCACAAAGGCCAAAAGAACGGAGTTGGAACAGAATATTGTATCTCCAGATGGTGTCATATGCCTTTTCCAGGTCAAAAAGGACAGCAACAACAGAGGTTTTCGCAACAAAGGCAGTACGAATGTAGACCATTAAGTTCATTAGGACATCAGTCATACTGTGACACTTGCAAAAGCCAAATTGAGAAGTGAAGAGGTGGTAATAGTGTTCCAAGAACACCATCAGACGGACATTGACCGTACGTTCAAAGAGTTTGCAGACGAAATTCATTAGAGCAATTGGGGGAAAATCTTTAGGGGGATGACCCCTAGAGAACCCCTAGAGAACTAGGTTCCAGAAAAGAAAGAACAACCGCCTCATGCACTGATGTTGACTACCAGACACGTTCAATAACTACTGAAACGTACATGGAGGGAGAGGACGAAGC